ATAAATGTAAAGACAAATGTGTAGGATAATTCATCAACGATCATCTTGAACAAGTCATGTGCTTTTTTTATTGTTACGATGATATACTCGAATTAGGCCATAAGCATCTACAAGATCTTCTACATCTTCACTTGATCTTAATACTCCTCTCCATATGTTTTCTTTTGACTTGTCAAAGCAAGACTCTAGTTATGTAGTTAGTAACTGTCTTTAATGAGTCTATTTGTAAAAGTTTGTATTGACGTGTCAAGCTTTGGAGTCTCACCTTCATTTTGTCTAACCTTTAATAATTTATAAAAATATAATTATTAGGATACTTATTTGATTAATTTTGCTTGATCCTAGCAAATAAATTTAATTATCCACTAAAATTTCGATTAATTGCCTTAATGTGTAGGAAAATTAGCAATAAAGAGGGAGAGGTAATGGACAAACATGCTAGGAGGCGACATAAAAGCCGAATTTGGGACAAAATGGAGGTCAAAATGCCACCTAGGAAGGCCACACAAGCTGTTCACCTAGACTCCAGCACAAAAGACAAAACAGTCCACTCCAACACATGCCAAAATGCCAACTGTGCTGGACCCCCTCTTCTCATTGGATTTCTTGGTCACCAAGAATGGAAATCACGTGAGAAACACAGGTTTAATTTTCACATGCCCAATCTAGCTGGTGGAAAGCTGGAAATAACCAACACAACAAACCAATCAAAGTTCATCTCTTCATCCTACATGGACATCACTTGCAAGCTGATTGGGTGGAAGAAGAATGCATGCGCTGGCAGTCCACTAGAGAGAGAGGAATGAGCAGCCAACGAGAGGGAAAGTTTTCGGTTTTGGGGGCTGAAAAGAGTGAGCAGCGCCGCATATTCTTGGAGGAGAGTAACGTCTCAAAATTTTCTGTTTTTTGGAGCTCTTGGAGCTGTTACGGTGGAGGGGGCTGTTTGGTTCATTTTCTTCACTCTTTCTTTATGCTTTTGGGGAGATAAGGATAGGGGCTGAAACTTTTACGTTAAGACATCACATAAGGAGGCTTCTTCCCTCTTGAATCTTTCATTTTCAAGTAGTTTTTCAATTTATTCTACCTGTATTTGTTGCTTTCAAAATCCTGCACCTTAGTTTAATTTTGTTCAATGTTAAAGCACTTGTTTACTCTTGTTATTTGGTGTTTTTGCCATTTAAATTTCATGCTTTTTAAGATTTTAATTTTATTTTAAAGTTCCTTAAATTTCCAAGTTCATGTGCCTTTAATTTCATGCCGGTTAGTTCTAGTTTACTTTCTTATTAATGGGTTGTGTAAGATGCTACTGCTACATTCGGTTCTTGCTAATTTCATGTTGTCATTTTTATTTCGGGTTCTGGATTTTAATTTTATTTAGCTTATTTTGATGCCTAAGGATGTGAGAAAAGGATAGAGGAGGAAGCCTTACAGACATCACCTTAGGTGACTTTCCCCATCTAGAATCTTGATTTTGCTTTTTTAATGAATTTTAGTTTTAAGTTGTGTTTACTTGCTTTAAAATCCTGTGGTTTAATTTTTTTTACACTTTTTATTTTGATGCAATTTAAAATTTCATGCCATATAAATTACATGCGTTTACTTTTAGGTTCTTTAAATTCAAAGTTGCCAAGTTCTTTAATTTCTGCGATTGAAATTCACTTTTAGTTTCAAGTTCGTAGTGAGATGTAAAATTAATTTTGCAATTCCATTTTAGGAATTTACCTATATTTCTTTAAATTGATAGTTTAGTAAGTTAAAATTTCAGTTGATAGTTAATTAGTTTAGTTAAATTTGGGTAAATTTAATTTTCATGCAATTAATTAGTTTAGATTAGAATCTAGTCTAGTTACTTGAGTTTTCTCGTTTACCAATCCATTTGAATATTCTTTGAGTGCTTGATTTTAGTATTTAGCGTAAGTCACCATCGCAATCTCTACGGGATGATAACTCTTTTACCATCATTTTATTACTTACCACGATCCCTATAGTTACGGGTCAAGTGTGTAAAACCCTTTGAACAATTTCATCAAGATATCTCATTCTTGCTTTGCCGAAGTTGCTCCTGTGATCTTCTTAAACACTTCATTGTTTACAACTTGATGAATGAAATACGATGCCTTTTTATCCTTCTTTATCTCACGACGGGCACTCCTTTTGTGCATCAGATGCGTTCTTGGCAAGATTCGAAACTCCATTCTCCATGATACTGAACAAATCGTGGTAATTATAATGAACTCTCATTTGGACGCTCCATCGACTATAATTTTTCCTATTCAAGATGAAGATTGTAAACTGGACTGAACCATTTATGAATTTAATTTTGATACCACAATTAGCTCATGAAGTAGGTAAGGTAGCGAAACTGTACCAAGAGAAGAAGAAAAACATACATGAATGGAGAGAAGAAAATACGAAACAAAAGACAATGAATTCAATTAATACTTCTACACAAAAGAGAGATCGATGACAAACTTTATAGATAGAAAAAATAATTAACTTGGACATCATGGGATGCATGCATAAAGACTAGCTTCCAAGTAGGTGAAAACAACTCCACTAACTAGGACTTATGCAATGACTCCACCAATTAATAACTCTACTAATTGAACCTTGAGAAAGAATCATAATTAATGTCAACATTTATATAGGGTTGGATTTAATTTGGCTAAGTTTCTTAGCCCAAATTTTATAAATTATTTTTTTTCTCAACAAGTATGTCTTAAGAACATTTAATAATCATTAAAATTTTCATCTTCAGTTAATTTTGTCTGCCTTCTCGAGTAAATTATATATATATATATATATATGTATATATAATGTTTTCTTTCATGGTATATTATTTTTCTTTCTTGCAACAATGGATGCTCAAAGAAACTCGAAGACCAAAAAAGCAAGCATGGACTAATGAGGAAGATGTTGTTTTGTTTTGTTGGAGTACACAATTGAATTGTATAATAGGATTTGTAATAGAACATTTAAATTGAATTATGTGTTAATTAGTATGAACGTGATGGATGCATATAGTTTCTAAGAGCATTAAATCAAATATTATGTTTTAAGGTAAAAATATTATTAAATTAATTTTCATATGAGTTTAAAACTTTATTAAATTATAATGAACCGTATTTTACTTATTTGGAATCAACTTCATACTTTTTCTCTTGATTTTGGAGAACAATAAGTTTTTAAAAATTATAATGTATTTTTAATTTGTATCAAATAATTTCAAATTCACATGAAAGGTTTCTTGATCATTTTATCGCTTTTTTTTATTATTATTCTCTTCAAAATTTTTATCATATATTCTTTTATTTTTTATTTCGAATTTAAATGAAATAATGTTAGAATACCTATTCCTAGCCTGTTTCATTATCAAAGAAAGATTATCCATTTTACGTTTGTTTCATTTGTAGAATCATACATACTGTTAGATTGTTTGATTTAGGTCACGATTATTAAGCTAATTGTGTCTTAAAGTCTACAATTCATCTCAAAAGTGCCCAATTTTGGTATATCAATGTAATTATATTTTATTAATTTTGGCTAAAAGCATTATTAGTATTAATTATATTTACTAATACTAGATTTTGGCATAGTCACTATGAATATGGGTGACAAAGACAAGAAATGATGATTTGATAAAAAATACAAGAAATTGATTTTTTTTTATATACTGCATGTTACAATAACTAAAAACACATAATTTTATATTTGTTGTTATTAATTAAAAATTAAAATTTTTATGTAAATTCATCAACTAACTTGACACCACTTTATATTTATCAAATTCAATAAGAAACTTTTTATGTAGTATTTTTTTTTAATTCGAATTGAATGTTCAAATTTGATTAGGCATGAGCATTTAAATAAATGTTCGGATTTTAGTATTTTTAATATTTTATTTAAATCAAAATAAAAACATAAAGAAAGTAAAAGTTATATGTGTTAAAAGTAGACGTGATAATTTTAAATACAATGATATGACAAGAAAATGACGTGAAAAAATTATATATATATATATTATAAAAAATATGTTTCGTATTTATTTATATCAACACGAATTTTGACATAATACAATTCGTTTTATATGCGTGTTAACACGTTTGAATATCTAACATAATATGAATAATATGTTTAATTTAATCTTATAATGTGAATAAACATTTAATATATTTAACACGTTTAATATATTTTTTATATGTATTTTAACTTAATATAAATATATAAAAATTATGTTAATTTTTAATCTTTTAATTATGATACTTAATTAGATATTTAATATCATATAAAAATTATTTTAAATATTTAATTATGATATTCATTTAATAATTATTATAAAATTAATTTTTTATATTAATATATAAATATAATATTAATATTAATATTAATCTTATACATTATTATTTGTTTTTAATCTTTAATAGTTTATCATTTTAAAATTGATATTAAAAATTAATATAGTTATGTAATATAATTTAAATTTAAATATATATTAAATACATATTAAATAAATATTAATTATTTTTTATTTTTTTAATATGTAACTGTTTTTTTATATTATTAATATGTCAAATTTATTAAATTATAAATGATGAATAATTTATAATTATTTATTATTTTAGTCATATTCTTGTATATATTCGTGTTAATCATATTTATTCATATATATCTATATTAATCATATCTATTTGTATATATTTATATTATTCATATCATATTTAAATAAATTAATTGGATGCGTGTTAATCGTCTTGTGTTATATTTATGTTTAAAATTTAAACATATTTTATAATTCATGTCGTATTTATATTTTAATATTATTATATATGTTAAATATGACATAAAATATAACACGAAAATATAAATTATTAGGTATAATAATAAAAAAAAAAACATAGTTTTTAGAATGAACTAAAAAAGACAGATATGTACATTTAATTTTGAACGGAGTATTTATCTTACGTCTGAAGTGATTTTATTGAAATAATAATAATATTAAGTAAAAAAAAAATGGGGAAAAGAATAGAATCACACGGGTCGTCACATTGGACTGAGAAGAAAATGCGACACTTACATTCGGGAGAGAGATCTGAAGGAAGCTGCTGTCTGTGGTAATGGAAGGTATATTCTCCTTCTTATCTCTTTCTTCCTCAGAATTTAAACCCTAAATTCTATCTCTGTCTTTCTTTACTCTCGCTTTGCCTCTTTGATTTTATTTTTGTCTTCTTTCTCTTCATTAATTGGTTATTAATGGTTATATGCTTTAATCATCTGCTCATTTCCGTTTATCTGAATTATTATGTTGAATTTTGCATTTCTTTTTCATTTTTGTTATAATTTTTTCAATCATAAGCGCTTTTAGTTTTAGGAGAATAACAGTTTCTGTTCATCTTAGTTTTTATGCAATTCAGCTTGGTTTAACCGTAATCTGGTGCTATTTTTCCCTTTACTTTTTCTTTCTTTTTTTTTTTTACAGAAAAAATGGAGTTGTTTTCTTTTGCTTATGAATTGATTATTAACACAAATGGTTTGGTCTTTTTATAACAAATTTACTGTAGTATCATATATTTTTATTTGCTGGATGTTCATGGTCAGTCAGTCGGGAACTGCTCTCTAACATTAGCACCAAGAGGGTGACGTTGATGGCATCTCTTTTGTGTGAACGTGATTTCGCTGCATTTGTTGTCTGTGCCTTGCCATGAACTTTTAGGACCATGAATTTTTAGGACAATGGCTTCTCTTAATGCCTGGTTTCCTTATTCGAGCAGCGTTTATTCTTAGCTGATTTTGCGTGGAAATAGATGCTATACTATGGGTTTTTCCAGTTTTGCATTTTTTTGGAAAACACGTTAGTGCAATTTTACCTCACTATGTCACTCTATTAGTGTTTGAATGTACTAAGGTAGCTTTTTTTCTTTCACTGGATTTGGTGTACACGACTACACGTGATGCATCTATAAACCTACGAATGTCTTGCAAATATAGCGTAAAAAACTATATAATCTCAATGCTCACCTTTTGTTTTTTGCTTCTTTTGTTCATGCGTTACAAAACGTTTACTGTCATGTTCCTTTTCCTTTTTTTTTCCCTGAATACCATTGCTTTGGTTTCTATGAATTCTGAAGCCATTACTTTGGTTGAAACTTGGAAACATTTTTGCTGTATGTCGAGATCTAAACAAAGATTTAAAACATGACGTAAAAAATGCAGTTACAGTACTGAGGATGGTGGACACCATTAGTAGTGTGGTCCATCCTTCATACTTGTCTCTTTAAAGGCTGAAATTATGGTTCTTAGATCAAGAAGATATGTGCCTTGTTGATGGTAGAAATTATTTGTATGGTAACTCAGTCTGGTTTCTTTTTCAAAATTATTATAATAATAACTATATAGGCAAGAACAATGGTTCATGGAGAAATCTCATCCGCTTGTATGATCTTTTGTTTACTTTAATTTCCTTGTCCCAGGGTTCATTTGGGCATTACTTTACTACCATAAGAACAGCTTTTGTGTTTTGGTTCTTTCATCTGGTTTTACTTAAAATGGTGAGCATGAGAGGATATGGTCTAGAACAAGTATTCTAAAATCAAAACATGAAAGAAATAATATGAATTCTCAACCAAAAACTCAAATATCCAAAAAATATATCTCAAATACCTCATAATCCAAGAGCATGTGAAACTAAAATTATATAGTATTTATAACTGAACCCTAAACCTAATTAGAGATGCAAATACAAAATATAACACTTAATCCCAATCACTTGGAAAATAAGTAAAATACTAATTAGTATAAAATAACCTAAATAATCTAAAATGGCCTAGATGACTTAACCCCTCTACTAGCATATTTCCATCCTCCATTAGGATACCTTGTATTTTCTATGGTTGAGTAGCATAATCATTGTTTGGCAGCCATTCTTTCTCGGCTGGTGCTTTTGCATAGCTATATTCTTGTCATACAATTTATCTTGCAAGAAGATTCTATTAATCAATATAATCGTAGTAGATTTTTTTTTGTGATGTTGCAAGTGTTTATTGTAAGCCTCATGGCTTAGGTCTTTATGAGGACATTCTGCAGCATCTTCTTCTCCTTTTCTGGTAAATGTCTTTTCATACAATGGAAAAATGGGAGAATAAATTAATATGTAAATGAATTAAGTAAATAAAATTGTGATGGCGGATAAAGAAAGTCACAAGCCCAAACTGCACATTGATTATATTAATACCGTGCTTCAATTATTTCTACAACATCTTGCTTGTGTATTGATGCTTTGAGGACCATTATCTTGGAGTACTACTAATTTCAGGATCAATTAGAAGAAATTATCTTTGCTGTTTTGGCTTATTTTATTTTATTTGTGATATGGACTTCATGTGGTTTATGTGGCTTAATGTTAAATTTGTGAAGCTCATTTAAATAGTTATCTTTTTTCAGAGTTTTAGGTAGCTTTCGATGATTGAGATAATGAGATTTAAGGCATTAATTTTGTGTTTTGACAATTTAAATTTCAGATCATTTCTTAAGTGTTTCTTTTGAGATTATCGGGGGAGTGATGCTACTTGCCCCAGCACTCAAGTTACAACTTTTTATTCTACTTGATATGGCAAAAATTTATTGGACAAATTCAAGGATGATATCTACCAAAGAGGTGAACTATTCATAAATGCATGCTAAAAGTTAAAACAATAGATTTTTGCCACATCATGTGACAAATAGCTGGGACAAAAATGTTTGGAGGAATAGTCAATCTTATTTTCCTTATTAGGGCTACGTCAAATAGATAACCTATGACATGGTATTTGTTTCAATTAAAGAGTTTCTTCCCAGGTATTGGTTGATTTCTGGAATTTGTGTCATGTGTCATCTTCTTGACCTGGGCTTGAAATGCTTTAGTTTCTCTTTGTTTATTCAGTTGCTTATGAAGTGCATAGCTTTTTAAATAAGGATTAAAATCAAAAGATTGTGAACCCTTAATATACCCTTATCCCATTTGTAGTAAAAGTAGTTATGGTCTTATTGTATTTGTTTTGCACACTTTTTTTGTGTATTTTATTGTAATTTGTCTTAATTGTCAGCTTATCTCAAATGCACATGATGTTTGACAGGTGGGTCCCCAGACCAGGAATCAGTTGGATCTGGGACAAAAAGGTCCAATGTATTGTCTGGCAGTAAATCTCGTAACTGCAAGGAATTTTTCTACAGATTTATTGATTGTGAAATTTTTACTGCAAATCTTGAAGAACGGTTTCAATCATTATATGAGAAGTCAGAGCCAAAGAAGCCTGCCTTCGATGTACCGTTTGAGTTGATAGAGCTTCAAAAATTTGACTATGCTTTGGAAGGAGTTTCATTCCAACAACTTATTCGGATGCCAACCGCTGTTTATGCTTCAACATCTGATGCTGCTGAAGCAACTGCTTATCTTGCTGTTGAAGATTTTTTACATGCAACTGTGAAGGGCTTGTGGGAGGCATTTTGGAGTCGGGATGAACCCATGCCTTTCTCTGTTGCCTGTCTTTACAAAGAAAATTTTAAATTTTACCAGGCAGAGAATGCAATAGCCAGTGGGAAGCTTGGAAATTTATGTGCTACTGGTGTATTGCTTAAGAACCCAAGACATCCCCATGGAAAGTGGGACAATCTTCTTGAACTGGCTCTTTTGAGGCCTGATATCCTAAGCCTTGCTGTAGAAAGCAAGCAACAGCCCTCTCTGCATGTTCTTGGTGAGGCTCTTTTCTATGCTTTGCGCATGCTCCTATCAAGAAGCTTAAGAAGACAGAATTTTAACCTGAGTTCAAATTCTGTTTTTGTTCTTCTTGTTGATTCTCAATATGGAGGGGTTGTGAAAGTTGAAGGAGATGTAAATAAAATGGATTTTGATGTAAATAATGTCTATGAGTGTGCTGCTCAGTGGATACAAAGGCATGCCAGAATTGCTGTTTCTCCAGTTGATAGGATCTGGAACAATCTTGGGAATGCCAATTGGGGAGATATTGGTGCTTTGCAGGTAACTTTTGCAACTTTTTACTGTATAATGGAGTTTGCTGGCCTGCCTAAGCACTCCATTGAAGATTTAGCAGCTGACCATGGTTCTCGCCTCCAAACGAGGAGAGTGGAGAGGGAGTTGGGGGATACTAGAGTGAATGGGAATGGTTTATTTAGGTTTCAGCAGCATGGTGTCTCTCCTGAAATTGTTGAAGTTCAGGATGATTCTGTCAGAATTGAGTCTGAGTTGCTGAAGCTGGAAGTAGGATCTGTATTATTATTGGAGGATTCAAACTGGGAAAGAGGTTATCAGATTAACCAAGTCAGGAGTAATGGTGAGATTCCTTATTACATTGCATCGCCAGTTGAAGATCCAGGAAAGTCCCTCTTTATCTATGTGGGTTCCCATCCTTCTCAGCTGGAACCAGCTTGGGAAGATATGAATTTGTGGTATCAAGTTCAGAGACAAACCAAAGTATTGACTATTATGAAACAGAAAGGGCTATCTAGCAAGTATCTGCCTCAATTGAGTGCATCTGGAAGGATTATTCATCCTGGTTGGTGTCGGAGACCGAGTTCAGGTGGAAACTGTGATCACCCTTGGTGTGGCACCCCAATTCTTGTGACCAGCCCAGTTGGTGAGACGGTTGCTGATATGGTTAGTGAAGGTCATTTTGGTGTGGATGAAGCTATAAGGTGTTGTCATGACTGTTTATCTGCACTTTCTACTGCCTCTTCAGATGGCATTAGGCATGGAGACATTCGGCCTGAAAATGTGATTTGTGTAAGTTCTGGTGAAAGGCATCCTTATTTTGTCCTAATTGGTTGGGGACATGCTATTTTAGGAGATAGGGACCGCCCTGCAATGAACCTTCATTTTTCATCTACTTATGCTCTACAGGAGAGAAAGTTGTGCACAGCATCAGATGCTGAGAGCCTGGTTTACATGCTTTACTTTGCATGTGGAGGTGCTTTGCCTGTTCTTGATTCTGTTGAAGGGGCACTACAGTGGAGAGAGAATTCTTGGTCTAGGAGATTGATTCAGCAGAAATTGGGTGATTTCTCCACAGTATTGAAAGCATTTGCTGATTATGTTGACAGTTTGTGTGGAACGCCTTATCCTATGGATTATGATATATGGTTAAGAAGGTTGAGGAGAAGTATTCATGAGGAAGATCATGGGAAGGAAATCGACACATCTACCTAGAATTATGTTGTAAAAGCAAATCCGGCCTGGTTTAGCCAACTCAATCATCTTGATGATTATTGCTTGCTACCTATGGCAGTATTTTGCCGGAAATCTAGGATACCTGAAGGCAACTGTGGAACTCTGGGAATGCTTGGAGTTTGATCCCCTGGGACTGCACTATTCAAAATTTTGGCAATGGTTGCAATTCTCCCATGGACCAGCTCAAATACGGTAGTTAGATCTTCAGTTGTCTATGGAACTTCTTGGTTTCTGGAAAATTGAGGCAGGCTGATGAGCATTATCAAGAGCGCGTTCCAGTAGTGTGCTCATGAACTGGGGTTGGATGATTATCTCGTTTTGTTATGAGGTTCCCACATTATGTAGAGGACATGAAGGATCATTTCTTGGTTGATTGCTTTTTCTTTTGTCATTCCTTTGTAAAGATACAAGCAATTTGGAGCCGTTTTTGTTGGCCATGTAACAGAACTGATGTTAGACATGATGATCGGAAAGTGGTAAGGGCGTAATCCTTTTCCTGTAAATGAATCGTGAAGTAGTGCTACGGGGTTTCTGATTTCATTGATGTGTTGCCGCGAGCTGTCACATCCTTTTGGCCTTTCTTTTGCAAATAATATTGTTTTTGTCTAACTCCTCAATCTTCTACTTTTCATGGCCTATTCAGCGATCCTTGTATTTTTATAACAAAATTTACGGCTATCAGGTCTTGAGAGATGCATAGCTGAAAATAGGATCAAGAAAGGTTGGCTTGCGAATGAACTTTTTTTTTTTTGTTTTTTGGTTTTTTTGTCTTTTCTGTAATTAACTTTGATTTGGCGGCACTTTCGCTCAAGACCTTACTTAAGTTGGCTTGATTTAATGCACTTCGGATTTTTCACTTTTATTTGGCTTTGGTTTTAGTGAAAATACATTTGAATCATACCATATTTCCTTTGTAATAACATAATGGTGTCAATTAGAAAAGTCAACTCTAATTGAAAAGATAAGTGCATTTTGGTTATTTATTTATCTACCTTTTATTTCCTTTTTTTTTCAACTCTTTTTTCAATATTGAAATTGAATCAATGCTTATAGTTTGGAACAAAGAAAACTTAAAAGGCCGTTCCTTAACATACAGTTAGATTTTTTCAATAACAAGTTTTTCCTTTATAAATGTAAAATAAATTTTTATGGGCGGTTGGGCTAACGGGGTGTAATAGAGCCATTTACACTGCAATTTAGGTTGTTTAATGGCACAATGAAAGCATTTCAATTAATTATAAAAAAGAAATGAAGGCATTTCAACTACATCTATGTTGTGCTTTGGCTTAAACAGCTAAAAGATTTGGACAGTATATATTTTACCATACCACTTGGCTTATAATTAAATTAGACTCCGTTAAGTACATTTTCGAGAAGTCATCATTGTTTGAAAAGATTGCAAGATAGTAAATAATGCTCTCGAAGTATAATATTGTGTACATAAGCCAAAAAGCAATAAAAAGAAGTGTTATAGAATAATTTCTTAAAGAATGTGCTACTAAAGACTATGAGCCAATGAAACTTGATTTTTCGGACAAAGAGTTAATGGCGATTTCTAAGCTAGAGGAAGAAGATGATAGAAGTCTTGGAAAATGTACTTTGATAAGGCTATTAATGCCTTGGGACATAGAAGTGGGGCAATTTTGATATCTCCTAAAAGACATTATTATCCTGTTACGGCACAGTTGAACTTCAATTGCATCAATAATATAACAAAATACAAGGCCTGAGTTATGGGCTTACAAGTGGCCATCGATAGAAAGATTACGATACTGAAAGTGTTTAAGGATTCAGCTTTAGTCATTTATCAATTGAAAAGAGAATGGAATACAAGAGATTCGAAGCTTATCCCATATCGTAAGTACATCTTGAAGTTGCTTAAATAGTTTAAAGCAATCCAATTTGAACATTTGCCTTGTGAATAGAATTAGATTGTGGATGCCTTGGCTACTCTAATGGCGATGATCTGGGTTGATGACAATACTAAGATTCATCCTATTAAATTAGATATCAAAGATATGCCAGCACATTACACTATTGTGGAAGAGGAAAAAGATTGAAAGCCTGGGAATTATGATATCTTGTAGCACTTAAAAAATCAGTAATATTTAGATCAAGCGACAAAGAATGACAAGAAAGTCCTAAGGAGATTAGCTATGGGCTTCTTCTTAGAAAAAAATCTTTTCTATAAAAGAAGCCGAGATCAAATGCTATTACGATGTGTAAATATAACTGAGGCAAAAAAGATTAATGAGGATATGCATGAAGGGGTGGGACATATGCCAATGGACATAAGATGACAAGACAAATTATGAGAGTTTGGTGTTACTAGTTAACAATAGATAATGACTGCAATGATTGTGCTCGAAAGTGTCAAATTTATGCTGACAAGATCTATACTCCACCTATTTCTTTACATGTTTTGGCATCATCTTGACAGTTTTCTATGTGGAACATAGATGTTACTGGTCGCATTACTCCTAAGGCATCGAATGGGAATAGATTCATTTTCCTAATGATCGATTACTTCACAAAATGGGTTGACACAGCATCATATGCAAATGTGACAAGATCAATGGTCTATAAGTTTATGAAAAGAGATAATTTGTAGGTATAGATTCCTAAAGAGGATCATCTCGGATAATACCAAGAACTTAAACAACAAGATGATGAAAGATATATGTACTTAGTTCAAAATTCAGCATCATACCGCCCAAAGATGAATGTGACAGTAGAGGTTGTAAAGAAGAATACCAAAAAGATTTTAGAGAAAATGACCAAGACGTATAGAGATTGGTATAAAAAATTACCTTTAGCTTTACATGCCTATTGCACGTTAGTACGCATCGCTATTAGGGCAACCCCATTTTTCTTGGTTTATAGAATGGAGACTGTATTGCTAGTAAAGTAGAAATCCCGTCTTTGAGAGTTTTAAGGGAAGTGGGATTAGACAAAGCTGAATGAATTCAAAGCGTTATGAGCAACTAAACTTCATTGAAGAGAAGATGATGGCAACATTGTGTCATGGTCAATTATATCAGGGAAGGATGATGAAAGCTCATAACAAAAAAGTTTGACTTTGTCAATTTAAAAAAAAAGAGTTACGTTGAAAAGAATTCTCTCAAATCAACATGATAATAAGGGAAAATGGATCCCAAATTGGGAAGGTCCATATGTTGTTAAAAAGAGTTTTTTTGGGTGGAGCATGAATCTTAACAAAGATGGATAGAGATGATTTTCTCAATCCCATAAATTCTGATGCTATAAAAAAGTGCTTTGCTTAAAAAAAAAAAGAAGATTCAAATTGAAAACCTAGAAGGGTAGTTTGACCAAAATGGGGTTATCCAATTCGAAAACTTGTAAAGGCAATTTAGATAAGGAGAATACAACATCATTTGGGAGGTTCACTAACATAAAAGCTAGTATATTTTGAAAAGCTCTAAAGTGCTAAAGGTGTTGTATGGTTGAGTTTTTGAAAAGAATCCAAGATTTGTTATCATGATTATCTGATTGTTTATTTTGGGGCATTGTTATCCCAAATAGCCATATTTGTATACCTTGTCTAGTTGCAAAAATTTGTCCCAAATAGCCATCATTTGTAATTTGGCTTCCTTTCCAAATAAAAGATATTCATTTCATTCTATTATTTATATCCCATTTTCAATCTTTGCCATTTATTTTCTATTTAAATGCTTTGCAATGAATAAAAGAAATGTATGATTTGCATCTTATATATCTTGAAATTGGGACAGTGATTGATAATTGAATAATGTCATAAAAGATTGTTTATTGCTTTGGGAAAGTTGAAAGAGACAATGGCAAAAGATGAAACCCTCAAAGCCTAGTAAGGACATTGATTTTGAAAAGAAAAAAAATTACCCCAAAGAGAAAGGTGAATGCCTATTTTGAATAATGAAGAATGGAGTTGATTTTGTTCCAATTGTTGGAAACTTGAACAATTTGGAATTCAAAAAGAAAGAGTCTTGAGAACCTTATTACCATAACTAGAATTTCATGGCATTGTTTTAATGGCATCTACCTTAAACATTATGTGTTTACATTACCATAATTTGGCAAATATTTAAATCCTTGCATTTGCATCTTTGTTAGGGAATGCATTTGCACCCTATAGCAAACATTTGAATAATCTATATTATTGTTTAAGATATGCATTTGCATCATTTAGTGAGGATATGGATTTGTTGTATTTGTACATTTAAAAGGCATTTGCATTATGATCTATCACATACAAAATTTTAACTTTAGTGAAAATTTTTAAACTTTTAATTCTTTGGACGAGGAGAACATTTTTTGAATTGTGAAGCCTTTATTTTAGCGGAGCTTTTTCTCGAAAACCTCTGAGTAAGATCTATAAAACCTTCAGGTATGATATTTAAAACTTATGGTTGTTATTTTCAAGATCGTTTGATCTCATATTTTGATTTAGGCTCAAATTTAGTCATTTTTAACTTCAGCTCAGTTCAAGTCAATTTATTTCTGACTTACGGTTTAATTTCGATCACTCATTTTTGACCTGGACTTAGTTTAAGTCATTTCATTTTTTGACTTATGGTTCAATCCCGATCATTTATTTTCGATCTTAACCTAGTTTAAGTCATTTCATTTGTTGACTTGCAATTCAATCTTGGTCGTTTATTTTCGACCTCAGCTTAGTCTAGGTCATTTATTTTTTTAACTTGCAGTTCAGTCTCAGTCATTCATTTTCAACCTCGGTTCAGTCCAGGTCATTTAATTTTTTAACTTGCGACTCAGTTATGGTCACTTTTATTTTCAAATTTGAATTTGGCTCTGTTCAAGTCATTTAACTTTGAACTTCATCTTGACACAAGTAATTTTATTTTTTGAACCCGAACATAATGGCTATCTATGTCTTTGCATCATTTTTATTTCACAGGAATGTGCAAAGAGAGACAATTGTAGACATCCCATTTCGTCCAGGGCTTGCATTTGAATTCTTGATTTTGATTTTGTCAGGACCATTGGGCTTTTAAAACATTTGTTGGGTCTTTTGGGCCTTGAATAAACTTATACAATTGGTGTTTAGGCTTTAAGCCCAATAACTATTTTGCCTTTGTTTGAGCCTAGTGGACATTTTGGTGCGAATTGGCTTTCCCTGTTTATGTGTGGACTTTGGCCTATAATAGTTGTTTGTTAATAGATTTTTTACTTTAATAAAAATTAATCAATAAAAAATTAATAAAAAAGGAAATACAATAAAAAAAATTTTTAGTTCAATCTAAAAATCAAAATTAGAAATTAAAATAAGAAGATCATTGACTATAATCAAATGAGGAATGAAAGCACCAAGAATCAAGCCACAATTTGGATCAAATCTAGCATATTCGATCTCTGTTAATCAATTGAATCCTCAAAATTTTTGTAAAAAACCCTATATAAATTATGCTCAAACCCACATAAAAGGATACAAAGAAAACAGGTAAAATTGTTAAGTGAGTCTTAGGTGTTGAAAATTTACTGGGTTTCTAGGGCTTTAATTCAAGAATTTTGATTTTAGGAATTAGATTTTGGTTTTGGATTGTGTTCGTGGTTTGAAACTTTTAAGTTGATTTTTAGGAAGTTGTCTGAATTCTGGGATTGGGTAGGAACTTTTTTTGAATTTTCTAGAAAAATCTAGAAATTAGTTGAATGTTTGAATTTTTTGGTTGAATTTTCCAACCAAGGTTGAGTTCCCAAATAAAATTCCAATGAAATTTCCAGAAACCAGTGATAAAATCTAGTTTCCAGTCGCCTAGGTTTAAATAGGTAGAAAGAAGGATAGAGAAACAAAAAGGCTAGAGAGAAAGTGCAATGAGGATTCTAGGCCAAAAAAAAAAAGTTTTGGCTTTTATACTGGTGCTAAACAGTATTGTTTTTGAATCTTTTAGGAGTCGCATGAACTCGCCAACGACCTGCACACAGCCTACTC